AGGTAGTTCCCGGGAGATTTGGTGCTCTAACCGGGAGACCGGGAGATTTGATGAAAAACTTGGAGACTCCCGGGAAAACCGGGAGAGTTGGCAGGTCTGGTGATGATATCTGGGCTGTTTGGGCCCGGGGGAGGAGGCTACTCCCTTGCTTATAGGTATGGTTTTCCAACCGTTTTGGCCAGAAATAGGGTATCGATTTTGGCCATAAATAGGGTATAGTTTTTGTCCTCTAGTCTTGAACTGGGTATGTTTTTTAGAAGTTTCTTGTTACCACTGTCGATAAGACTGTAAATTATGTTTAGGGCAACACCGGTCATAAATAGGGTATCAAATTTTTTGGTCAGGTCATGAATAGAGTAGGGAGAATTGCAGATTTTGGTCATACATAGGGTGAGGGTTTTGGGAAGCACGCCACACACCCCCACCCAATTTTTTTGGGAGTACCACCCCCAGGGTGTTTGTGATACATCTGTACTTCAGTGTGGCAAACCAAGGGATATACCCGCAACAAGAGGTTTGAAGTCCCAAAGTGATATCAATTGATACAAGTCTCCACCTGTCTTGGGACTGAGAGTTTTGTCATGAATTTTACAAACGAAGCCGTATCATGAGAGTTTCTACAGACAGTAGTCCACCAATGGTTCCTGTTGCATGTTATTTTGTTGGTGTTAAACGAAAGAAACATCCCCAGCAAGACACTTTAAAAGTGATTTTGATTTGATTTTTTTGTCTTGTTTGTTTCTGCTAAAACTGTTAACAAGCAAGACCTTAATGTTCAAGAGGGTGTGCAAGTTAATCAGCAATGATGAAACTCAGTCTTTGTGGCCATTTAAGAGTTTCCAAGTTCTGTCAAGGCTATTCAAGATTTTGAAATTTGGGCCCTACTCAAAGATAAGGAGACAACTCTCTTTGTACTGGTAAAATGTCAGGGAATTCAGTACTCATAATACAAACTTGTAGTCTGATTCTACGGACTGCTGTCGATACAACAATGCCAAAACAATAAAAGCTTCCACAATAAAAAATTTTTATGAGTTTTTCAGGACACAGAACACCTACTAATCATTGTCCCTGTGGATAATTGGACACTTATTATTCAAAACCAGCAGTCAGTCGGCCACTTGCTTTAGTCACGGTGGTGGCAACCTCCCCCCTGGCTAAGGCAACAGCGTGTGCCCAAGGCGTAAAACACTTGGGTCCGGTCTCTGTTACTTCTTTCCTTGCCATGGCTGTCACGACATCTCCGTCATCTGTCACGACAATTAACTTTGGGATTGCCGTGACGTGATAGCGGTTCTTCAGCTCCTGGATGAGTTCACAGCCAAAAGGAACAGCCAGCCAGTCACCATGGCACCGCTTCATGTACGTTTCCATATCTGACGCCGTTTTGTCGGATGAAACGAACACAATCTCAAAGGGAAGTGCATGTTCTTGAAGCTCATTGTAAAATTCCGCCAGAAGCGGAGTAAATTGATTGCATGGAGGGCACCACCCCGCCGAGAAATACAACGCAACAACTTTGTTTTGAAGGACCTCTTCTGGATACACGAGTACTCCAGACCTTCTAGCAAGTTGACGATCCGCGAAAATGTTCATTGCTAATTTTCACATTGCATAATTGCATTTTGCAGCGTGACAAGACTTGAGACTTCAGTACGTAGTGTTAGCGGATTCGAATCTATGACGTCATACTGTGGAGTCTTATGCAAGAAAGTTCAAGATGGCGGCTAGGTCCGCGATCGGAGCGACTGTGAGAGCAGTCAATAAACCTAGAAAATTTGCTGCCAGAAGAGCTGCAATAACCCTGGTAAGTCTACTAGCTGTTACGAAATTACTTCTGTGCGCAACAATAGTTGTCAAACTTTGTAATGACGAGTTTTCGTGACATCGATACTCGAGGTTGTAACAGCTTTATTTTGTAAGAGTACAAGTGTAAAAGGCTTCAGTTACTTTAATATTACTCTATATTTATCAACCCATTTTAGAAGTAAAGTAGTCATCATGTCAGTTGTGTGTGACAAGCAGTACAAGTAGTACACGAGTTTACCTAACCTTTCTAGGTTGTACTTTATCTCTACTTTCTCGCTAAAAGACATGAAGGAAAGCATGCCAAGCCATACTGATCCTTATGTAAGAATTACCGATAGCTTATTTTGCATTTTTGCAATCAAAGAACGAACGGAGATCGATGACAGTCATTGCCAGTTTCCGAGCAAAGTCAAGTTCGATTGCGGCAGTCTAGGATGATGTTATAATTTGCCTTTATCAGGTTAGATAACGTGGGAAAATATCGAGATCTTCGTTATTTTCTCTAGATTTTATGAGCATATCCCAAAGCTCTAGAGACAAATGGTTTCCCCTTCAAGTCAAGTGGGATCCCTCAGTCATTTAACTCATCGTCTTTCTCCTGGAACAACTGATCAGGGTTGTCTTGGTTGGTACTATTATTTAGGCTGGCCAGGGAAAGTGTCCTTGAATGCTTACATAT